TATGCAAAAATGCTTTACTCTGGTTTTGTTTATGTTTTTGTTTTTGTTTTTGTTTTGTTCTTTTTTTTTTTTTTTTGCGTCCGCTTCTGTTTTCGGTTTTGTTAAGCGAACGGGGACAACAGCGAAGACAAACACGAGCACAACTAAATAAATAAACAAAGAATTGTGCGAAAAAGTTTTAAATATATGCAGATGCACGCACGCCCCTGCCAAAAAAGGGAGAATGAGGTGGCTGGGCGGGGATTGAGACACTCTTTGCATATGAAAATGAGTTTTGTTTATTTTCATAATACAATTTTTGCCGTTCATTATTTTGTCCATCGTTTTGCAAGCGAACCGCACGAAGGCCGCCAATAAATCCAATTAAAAGAAACAAATTGGACCACTATCAAAACGTATTACAAACCACATTTGACATTTTGATAGGCAGCGGTAACAATAATACAAAATAGCAGAAAAAATGATTGAGTTTTCGAGGCACCAACTCGTTGATACCCTATACGAAAAAACACAGACTTCTAGGAAATATAAAATATATATTAGATAGCGTTTTGCTGAAGTTATTTTTAGGTTCTTTTAACCAATATATTGTATGCATATTTTAAAAGGATTGATGCAAGTCTTTGCCTCCCTTCAAACATAAAATAATATAGTGGTAATTATTTGCCCTTACTTGTTTTTTAAAGCTGATAAAAAGAGCATACAAATCCTGACATTTTGCATGATTAAACATTTGACATGGCGATTTGATTACATTTTAATATAAACATAAACAGTTTTTTGCAATGTATTAATATTATTTTAATTAAGAATACAACTACTATGGGACCTATCGCTCCTCTCTATTATAAATTTAAATATATTTTTTCTCTACTTGATTGACGACTTTTTTTGGGCAAATAATTAGCCTCATGATCTTGGCCGCATCCGAACTCATTTGCAAGTAATTAAATTCGGGCGGCAATTTGTCAACAAGTTCCCCAGTCGGGTCACATACAACTTTCCACTTTTCACAGCCAGCTCATTACAAATTTTCCTGGTGTTTTCGTTTTCCTTTCGTTTTCCCCGACTTTCCCTTTCAGCCTCGTGCTCATCTAATTTCATTTCCGTGGCGCAATCAGCGGACGTAGTTTTCCAGCATCCTGCAGTTTGTTTGTAGTGCGTCCTGCGCTAGGAAATTAAATTGCGAGCACTATCCGGGATCGGAGACGCCGGGAGGATATATAGTATACTATATTGCCCCAAACCATTTCATTCATTTCATTTTCGGGTATGTATGTGTTTCGGCAGCTCTGTTGTCCCTCAATTTCCGTTGGGCGCAGCAATTTATAATTATGTGAATGTGTGTCTATATTGTATGCATGGGCAGGATACACCTATATACTATGGAAAAAATACATGCAGTGCGACTTCAGTAACATTTTTGGGTTGCTATTGAACAAAACTGTTTAGAAAAATTAATATAAAAAATAAAATTTATCATAGTAGCCAATCCTATCCCATCATGATTATTATTAAAAGTTTACATTAATTAATATCATTTTTAACAGGATACTTTTAAGAAATACTTTTAAATTATTTGGCTTATATGAGGACTGAAATATTATTTGTCGCTATAGCCTAGCTTAATAAAAGGTTTTTTTTTGACAGTCAAATCCAATAGATAACACATTTCGAAAATGTATATTAGAAAATACTTTTGCTTTGTTGTTTGTCTGAGCTTATACACATTTTTCAATAATTGTTTTTAACTTGCCTTTATATTTGGACTGACATAATTTTTGTGATTAAAGCCAAAAATGTTTAGTCCTAAAAATAATAAATATTTATTTATTTTAATAGATATACCGGTGACCACTATTTTAAAATACTTCTTAATATTTTAGTTTGTCAATAAATGCAAGTTTGGCTTTATATTTGGACTGCTAGAAGGTTCCTCAGTGAACTGAACCAAACAATATTAGTTTTCTCCCAGTGTATCCCGTCTAGACAGGCTGACGGACATGTTGTCCCTTATATGCGCCTGTGTCCTTTCTGTGTCCCATTTTTCAGTGGCGTTTCGCTGGTTGGGCTTACGTGACCATCGGGTATATCGACACAGGCTATCGTGTTAACCAGAGTGCACGGCTTAGTCGCTAGAAAATAAAGAGCCTTTTAATTGAGTTGCGTTGCCGCAGAGCGAATCGAATTTGGCACTTTGGGCCAAGCGCGAATTCCCGTTGTTTGATAATGCAGTTTTGCATGAATAATAATATTTTCAATTTTGAGAAAGGATATGTTTATAAAGCAGATTGCTTTAAACAAGTATTGCATATGTTTTAATGTCAAATGCTTGAATTTTAAAAAATATTTGTTTCTAAAATGATTTTTTTTCTAAGCGACATTTGATCCTACCACTTCAGGTAAATCAACATTAAGAGTTACAGTATTTGCCGTATTTATATGATGGAAGGAAATCTGTGCTTAAAGGCACCTATCGATATTGTTTACCAGCGGGAAACTCAACTCCGCTGTCAGCCACTTGACTTACTTTCCTCTCCTGCAAACGGCTACAAAAACCGCCCCTAAAATCGTCATAATACGTCACCAGCTTCGTTTTTACCCCGCTGAAAGATATCCTTAGTTAACCCTTTTGCCCCCGTTTTTCCGACGACATTTTTCCCGGCTTACGTTAAGTGAAACACGAGAAGTTGTGCTTTGTGCAGGCCACTCGAAAGGGGCGGGCCGGGGGCGGGAGAAGCGCAGGGTTGAAGGCGGTTTTCCGCCGGTGACCTCCCCTCTTATCCCAGCTTAAGTACACGCGCCCATGCACCACCCACTCACCCAGCCACCAACTGTTATCCTTGTCCCTTGCAAGCTGCACTGAAAATTGAGACTTCTGCGAAATCAGGCACACCATTAAGCAAAGAGTTTAACCAGGAAATTGTAATAACAAAATGTATTTGATACTCTTTTATATTATGCTAATTAAAGAGAAATTTAAAAATATATTTAATACATATATTTGATTAAAATTGAATAGCTAGTTTAGCAATTTAAGAAGATTTTTCTATTGAATTGCTTTAAGAATTGCAGAAAACTCATTTTTTCTTTCAGTTTTGTTATATTTCTCGACACATATTTTTAAATCTTTTGAAAAAATTGCCACAGCAGTTGTGTTCTTTTAGTGCTCTGGTAAAGCCGAGTTGCTGTGAGTTTGCTTTTTGTTGGCTTCACCTGCTTTTGTCAAGGGGCCATAAAAAGGACATGGTCATCCGCGGACCCCGGCGACACGAGGTGCAACCTCAGCCTGAAAATGAACCCCGGGTTTACCTGTCAGCTGGCGGGACTCCCAGTGTTCTATTAGCATTAGCATTGTGGGCCCATTCGACTCTGGCAAACAGGTGAAATGCTAATATGAAAACTACACTAGCCACTTTGTGCTGGAAGGCATACTCGTACATATACACACGCAAAGTGCGCATAATGAACCTAGGAAACGTTAGCACAACTAACTCAATTACGGGACTGCAACATGTTTCCAGCCCCTGTACATATAACCCCTTGAAGCCAACGGGCGTAAAATTAAATAATGGCCAGACACACACGCATGGTTGCAAATAGCTGATTCAATATTTAAACATTTAAATTCGTTCTAAGTAATCCGGCCATTCCCTGCACTAGCTTAAGGAGAATTTCGCACCTCAGCACAAATAAAATAAAATATGAAATAAATTTAAGTTCTTTGGATGACCAATGACATTCAAAGTTGGAAAGTCTCTGCAAAATTGTTTAAACAGAAGTTCATTTGAGCGCAATCACTTATTTATTCCATGAATGTTTTACTTGCAAGCTATAAATGAGTACGAGTGCATTTGAAAAATAACAAAAATAGGGCCATTAAATAATATTTTGGCTTTGAATTTTGGCAAAATTAGAAATAGCTGAAATTACATTTGGGCTTTAAATTATTACTTAAACTGAGAAAAGAAAACAAATTAAAAACTTTCCCTAATAAATAGCTCAAAGTTAGAATGTCACACATCGTTGGAATCAGTCATAAAATTTACAATCAAATGGCATTACAGCTAACATTTTTTCTGTTTTTCAAATATTGGCAAAAAATGATGATGTACCCCTTACAAAAAAGTCAGAAATTTGGACATAAATAACTTTTTCAAAAACGTTTTTCAAAATTCGGTTTTTTGTTTGATTTTGGGTCTTATTTTGGCAAAGTTACAGCAAAACTACTCTTCAGAAATAATTTTGTTTGAAAAATCTCCAAAAACCCAAAAAAAAACACACTAAAAACTTGGTTTTTGTGTCAAAACCCTGAGAACTAATGATCAAAGGTTGAAATGTCATACACCGTTGAATTCGTAATAAAATTTCCAATCGAATGGCATTCACAGTTAAAATTGGCAATTTAAAAACAATTTGTTATAAAAATCTTTTTTATATAAAAATAAAATTAATTTTGTTGTAAATTGAACGGGATGGATTTTAAGGATCAACAGCTGTACAAAACAGTCACTGCTATCGCTATGCGTCTTATTTTGACTAAGTTACAACAAAAAGACTGTTTGGAAATGCTTTTTTTTTTTATTTCTCCAAGAACCCAAAAACACCGTAAAAAAAATCAGTTTTTGTATCATAAGCCTGGGAAATATGACGTTTGATTCGTCATAAAATTTCCAATCAAATGGCCTTCTCAACTAAAATGATTTCAGTTTTTAAAATTTGGCAAAAAATGACGATGTAACCCCTTATCAAAAATGCGAGAAATAGGCCATTTTTAAAAAATGGTCTTTTTATATCAAAACAAAATGAATTTTTTGTAAATTGATCAGGATGGTGGTATAGGTCGCCAGCAGCAAATAACAGTAACTCTGATTGCCGTGAAACTTATTTTGGCTAAGTTACAACAAAAAGTAATGTTTTTTTTTTTTGAAAAATCTCCAAAAAACACTTTTAAAAAACACTTTTATGGTCAAAGGTTGGAATATCAGACATCGTTGAACTCGTCATATATTTGATATTAACTGAGTTATTTATTTTTGTACGAAAGTAAAATAAGCAAGAAGAAAAGGGGGAAAAAAAATAAAAGAAGTTAGCAGGGGTCATGGGTGCCCGGTATTCAGTTGTGGTCAGCAGAGGAGGGTGCTGGTCCTGGGGTCCTAGTCCTTGATGACGATGGGCCTGGTGCGGCAGCGGCGGACGCCACCCCCGACCACATTTCCCTTGCAGCTCCACTGGCTGGCCCTCACCCACTGGTTGAGTGGGTTGCGGACGCAGTTCCTCTTCTGGGCCTCGCAGCGGGTCTGGAGGACGCAGGCGCCCTGCTGGTCCCTCCAGCAGCTGGCGACCTTGTCGTCATGGCAGAGCCTCCTCTGGCACTCCTTGGTCCGAGGGCGCAGCTTGGTGGCGCACTGTCCCACGCCACTGGAGCCGGGAATGTTGCGGCAGCGGGTGATGCAGGTCTCCCGGATGGGTTCCAGCCCATTGTCCCGCCGCAGGCAGTTCTTCTCCCGGAGACGACAGGCGGGCAGACGGGTGCACACGTTGGTGGCCTTGTTCCGGATGCACACGCTCTTGCCGCCGGACAGAGGGTGTCCGGTACAGCGGCCAGCGCAAGGACGGCGGTTGCCATCCGCTTGGATGGAGGCGATCGCCAGGACGACGAGCAGAAGGCAAATGCTGAACTTGGTCATGATTTCTCTGGGGGATCTGGAGGATCTTTGCTGCTGTTCAACTGTTGACGGTTGATTGATACTTTTCCGCCGGGCCAGGCGAGTATATATAGCAGCTCGGATCGAGTGCATATACCCCCGATTTAATTTGGGCCCAGGTGGTACATCTGTTCTCTTGTTTGTTCAAGGTTTTGTTTTCCATTATGAATGGTGTAGTGTTCATAAACGTTTAACTATGTGAATCTGCTTATTTTAGTACAAAACACAACATTTAGTTATCATTTTGTAAAAATTACCTTGATTTATAAGAGTGATTAAAAACTGGTTAAGCAATTCAGTAGCCTTAAAGCAAAAAGATAAAATATAACTAAGAAATAAGAAAACATAATAATTATATTGCTTCAAGACTTAGAAGTAAAAACAAGAATAATTATTCCGCATTTAAATACATTCAATTGACATAATTCTAGAGCGATGATTCCACTGACTTGTTTTCCAATCGCTCGCTTAAAGTTTAGCACCAGCAATTAACTCAGGTTAATGACACTTTATTGATTAAATATTTAAACAAAAGCCAAAACGACGCATGCCAGCAGAGAATTGTCTTGCATTCGCTTCCCGGTTCTTGTTTTGCTTATCGATTGGTAGTATAAATAGTTAAGATTGTTGGCTAAAATGGTATCAGTAGTTCTACCTACTCCAAGCATTACAGCAAGCAATCAAGCAAAATGCGCAGCTATCAACTGACTTTGATTTTCGGTAAATCTGTTCAAAGAACTTTAAATTATTTCGACAATTCTTCTTTAAAAGAAATAAACAAGTTAAAGTTTTTCTTCTTTTTTTCGAGAAGTTTTTGAAGCATGGCCTCTATAATTACTAAATTTTTGTATTATCATGATATTTTTTAAAAGAAAAGTTGAGTCGTATTTTAGTGATTTTTTAATTAAAAAAAAAAAATTTAATGAATGTTTATTTTCCAATTTTCTTGGCAGCCATGGCCTTTCTGTGGGCGGTGGCCAGTGGTACCACCCGACCGTCGACCACCCGGCGCCCGGCGGTCACCACCACTCGGACGATCCCCTGGAACTGTCCGCTCTTCCCGGATGTCTGCTCGAGGAACAGCCCTAAGGTCTGCGGTAGGACTCCGAGGGGCGAGTGCCAGCGGTTCGAAAACATCTGCCACTTGATGCTGGCGCATCGGCTCCAGTGGCCCGCGGGGGTGAGGCACACCCGGGACCTTGACTGCCGCAACGTGCGCGGGGACGGCCCCGCCCACCGCCGCCCCTGCTACGAAGCCTGCCCCCCGCGGCCCGTCGTCTGCAAGAGGTCGCCCCCGAACCAGCACATCTGCGTGCGCAGCAGGAACAACAGGCAGCAGTGCAAGGTGCTGGCCAACAAGTGCCAGTTGCGCAACCAGAACTGCCACAGCCAGCCCAAGAACAGTGAGTAGTTATGGCTATACCTGATCGACCAGCTAACCCAACTGCCTTTAAACAACCCCCTCCAGACTGGCTCCGCACCGACAAGAGGCGCTGTGGCCAGCTGCAATTGGGCGACAAGCCGCAGGACTGCCTGAGGTTGCCTAGGCGCAACACCGCTCGTACCACGCTACGCACCACCACCCCCCGCACCACCACTGCCAGGGCGGTCTAAGGGATCAAGGACATCCGCTTTCCCTGTGAGCGCCAACACATCTCTCAATTTTTTTTTAACTTCCCCATTAAAGTGTGCAATAAATTGAAAATAAACTAGAAGGCATATATCTGGACTGTCTTTGCTGGTTTGGGATAAGTTAAATGTTTATAACATTTTATTTATTACCAGAGTTGTGACTAATTAACCGTTTTTGTAATGTATTAGTCATTTCATAAGAAACAAAAAAAAATTAAGCTAATAAGAACAATTATCAAATGCAAAGAGTACTGCTATTACAAAAAATGATATACATTTTTATTAGATTGTTAAAAAAACATTTTATTGGATTTCTTAAAGTATTGCCAAATATATTTCTCTTGATTCATTAGATTTGAAAAAAGGGTAAGACTACGGAAAAAACTTTGTGATAGATGTGAAGGACCAAATGCTACTGAAAAATGAAAAATGCATGGCAGCTTTCATTTTTGGAAAATAATTTAAAATAACAATATACAAATAAAAAAAACAGTTTCATTAAATTTATAAGAAGAAAAATCAATTTCCTTAAATCGAAAAGAAACGTTAAATATCAGGTCTAATTCCTTGTAAAAACTTTGAATGTCTTTTGCGTCTCGTTTCGATTGCAAGCTTTTATTTTCATTGAATTCCAGGTATCATTAACTGTTCAATGTCCTTTGGCGTTGGCGTTGGGAAAATCCCCACTAATGACCACTGTTATTTCTGAGCTTGCTTTCTTGTTCCCCATTGTACCCACTTCTTGGCATTGCCCAGACAACGGCGTCGGGTGGAAGTAGAAGTTGGCCAAGAAGACCGAAGTAACAACAACTCAAATTACAATTGCCTAGTTCCATGTTTTTTTCGTATGAAATTTCCCGTTGTCTCTCCCTTCATGAACCGCTAATTAATTGATAGATGCCGGTCCAAATTGACCGAAATTGCATATTCAAGTTGTGCTGCCTGTGTTTTGGTATCCATTCAGGGCGAAAAGTTTATTGAATTGCACATATTACGCATACGCAACGGTTGCCGAAGTTTGACAAAGCTTGTCGAAAACTTCACTCGCATAACTTTTTGCTCTGCTTGTCCATTATTAAAACGCCTAGGAGTCCTTAATCAAACCAAATTCAAATTCAAATCAAACAAATCTAGTTTGCGGTTTCCACAGCTTTTTTGCCGTGGCTTCGATAACAATGGATGAAAAGTCCTTGTAGTTGCCAACGCCGGCGAAAGCTGGCTATATTGATGCACAACAAAATTAGTCATATATTTTACAGGGCTAGGAAATATGTACAATTAAATATTTACTTGTTTTTCGGTCATTACGAATTACTAACAAAAAAGTTGAATTTGATTGCACATTTTTTGTAGAAGGGCCTGATACATTAAATTATATGTAAAATTATATGTACATGAGAATGATTTCTTTGAACCTTTTTCATATTTTCACAGACCAATAAAGTACCGAAATTATAAAATAAAGTTACATCAGACTTGAAGTCTGCATTTTAATCACTGCACACACCTTAGTTTTGAACCACGTGAATTTGGTTTATTACCCTAGCAGTTGTTTTCCTTAGGTTTTCGTATTTTTTCTACTCGATGCTGTGTCTTTCCCATCACAATCGTTTCCTTTTCGCTTTCCCATTCGATTTCATTTTGTGGTCTCGAAATTTATGACAATCATCTACATCTGTTGAACATTGGCCGACGGCAAAACCGTTTGTCATTTCGATTCAACTTAATGAATGCGAATGAATGCCAAATGTTGAGTCAACAGCCCGGCCACGCCCACATATGTCCGGCTAATTTAGTCGCAGGCGAGGTTATTAAGACTAATTGCGTTGATTCATAAATTAGAAACACCTTTGATTGCGGGTTCGTGACTATATCCACTATATCCACCCAGAATACGTATATATGGTAAACTGGCACTCGGGGCTTACAAAAATTTGGAGACATTCACCCTCAAGCTGGATGCATCGAAAAAAATATTGTTTGTCTTTAATTGATAGGGACTTAATCTTTATTATGTTCCCAACTTACCACTTTTGAACTAAGAAAGTAGTACGGATTGCTTTCTTAGCTTAACAAATTTATAACTCCCATAAGTCATCTCCAAGCTGCATGTGATTAAAACTAATGAAATTGAAATTCCTCCTAAATGTATTTGCCAATCGGTTTGAACAAGTAATTGCTATTAAAGTATTGTGAATTTTTAAATTTATTTCTCCTGGTGCTGCTGCCATGAATGGAGTGCCTAATTTATGAACCCCATGAAAGTGCGGGGCATAATTTGCCACTTGGCCTGCCATACGAGAACCTCTCGGAATGTGGAATGTGCGTGGTCATTACTTGACACTCGGTGCGGAGTAGTCGATAGTCATGGTCGCACTATTTAAGGATGATAGATGACCGGCAGTTATCGGTCAGCGATGGCACTCCACCTGCTCTTTTCAGCAGCTCGTTTTTGCACACCATCCGAATTAATCGTTAACTGGAAAAGTGGAAAATTGATTTGGGTATGGGAGAAACGGGTCTGAAAGTAAAATGCAGTTTTTGCCTCAATTTATTAGGAGTCTTATAATATAAAGCTGATAAAAAAAATCATTTTCCTTAATTACAGTTATATTTTCTAGACTACAAATTTAAAATACAAACTCAGTTCAGATAGCTCGCTGTTTTTGGTCCTGGTCCTAATGGCCATGGATATTTTGCATGTGTTTGGCCTAAAGCGGCCTTCAGAGACAATTACAAAATGAGCTAACCATAAACATAAACTAAAACGAACTGCCGAAAACGACAGACAAAAGTGCAAATTTGTGTCCGCAATTAAACATTAAACCCGAAAGGCCCAAAAATACTCAGACAAACCGCTGAGCAACGTTGGAGCCTCAATAAAAACACAGGCCACATTAACAAGCCGCATTTATTAAAATTAAAAGGCTGGCAGACACTGCAGTACTAGTTTCGGGATGTATGCTTGTATTTAATGAAAAGAATCCGTTTTTTGAACGGAAATTGCCATGCTCTCAGCCAAATTTTCGTGAAACCGCAGGAGTTTATTTACTGTTCAGCTGCCATAATTATATAAATTCCTTGGACAACTTATCCAAGAAAATGCCTTTGCTTTATGGCCAAGTATAATGAATAGTTTCCATTAGTTTGCGCGGTTTGCTGTTATGCGCACTTGCAAATTGAATAAAACGGTGAGTTACCGGAAAATAACGACAATTAATTGCAAATCGAGCGACACTTCCCCGGCCGCAGACCTAGGAAATTGCGGTTTCCTTGGCATTTGGCAGCCAGCATCTGAAATGTGCGGTTAACGATTGCATCTCGGTATCCAAACATTGGGGTTACCTAATTAGTCGGCATTGAGCCAGGTGTCACACACTTTGAGGCCCCAACAGCACTCAAAACAGATTTCTGAGACGAGGAACACCAAATTTGAAATTTACTTATTATTAGCAAAAATTTGAACAATGCCGCAGCAACTAAACCCAAAAACGTTGCTAGAATTCCTTAATGCAAATGTCGAGCCCACCCCTTTCGATAGTATTCTCAAGGAGTTTACCGCTCCCGACCAATCTTCCAGAGAAGTGGAGCAGATCAGAGGGCGATTGAGGAGTCTTTTGGGTGCTGGAGTTCGTCTGATGTACTTGAAGGAGTGGAATGGTAACTATATAGTCGCAAGCAACGTGGAAGATATGCTAAGACTTCTGCGGTCGTTATACTGAAAACTGACTCGAAGAACCCCGGAGATATCGGATACCTGGACGATTTAAATGTTACCATCAATGACTCCTCGAAATAACACTTCCATCAGGATCACTGAAGATTGGTCGGACAGGAAATTTTCAAAATTAATTATGTAAAGGAGTCATTGTTAAAAGCCATGTGACCAAAGTTAATTTAAAATTTAGCCCATTTAAATATACAAAAGTTTATTAATTACGGATAAAATTTTCGAGCCCAGCTCGAAAAACTAAGCTCACTTGGTTTCCGGGATGTTTAAATGATTAGGCACATGATTTATTTGTGGGTTAGGGCCACTTCGCCAAGAACTAATCAACGGTTTATGGCCGCTTTTTGCGGGTGTGCATAAATTGTATTGGAAATTAATTAGCAAGTGGCTGAAAAGCGTAATTGCCTCTGATTATACACATCCATCGATACTCGGGCATTAGGCAGAGCTTACCCCATTGCCATCGCCATCGCACACATGAGCTCATCGATGAGATATATGGGCTGGGTTAGGGGATAAGGATACATGGGAGGGATATGAGGCAGCAGACATAAGCCACAACAGCATTAAATTGGCATTAGGTCAGGCCAGTGGACCAGCAGCAGGCCTCTGTGTTTCGGCCCAGAAATTGGATTGAACTTGACTTGTTTTTCTTTTCTTTTCTCTGTTGCCGAAAACCAAACGCAGACATGCGAGGGGTCTGAGGTTGAAGGGCACGGGGACTGGGGCACGGGGCACACAACATGCCACATTGTCGCTCTGACTTTTATTTATTTTGTTAGACGCATTTTGAAAAGCCAATAAGCAGCATTCTGATTGATTATCTGCTGCCCGCTCATTGTCTCCGTGTTGATTTAAGCTCTCATACACGCACTCACGTACGGTGGACACGCGCTAAGAGTCCCTCATTAATGACAACTAAATAGCTAAGACCAAAAATGATGTAGATGCGAAGAACGAGAAGAATTGTCAAGATTGTAGGCTGATTTCGTCTATTAAAATTAAACCACAATACATAAAAAAACAACTAAAATACTGTATATAATAAATTGGATAATTTTTGGCCGTTTTGTGACAAAGATTATATTCGACTATACCTGGTTTTTACAACTTTCAGAGATAAGAAAATTACAATGGACTAGTTCGCTGCCAGCGAGGGCACACTGTCTCTGTATGCCTGTCCATCATTGGGTCCTGTATGTGTTTATGCGTGGAAGGCGTCAATCAATTTTGAGTGAAATAAATGAGGCTTGTGCCGCATTTTGCGTTCCTTACACTTTGGGCCGGCAAAAAGGCTTAAAATTGTAAATTCCGTCCAGACGCATATTAACCCTTACCCGCAGTCGTACCCCAAACCGGACCCCCGTTATAAATGGCTGCCATCTCATCTGAAAACCTGAGTCGGGTTTTAGGTTCCTGCATACAGATCAGATTCCACCATCTGCCCGCATTCCACAGCTCCTCGTGCACAAGGGGAAGTTGCCGAAAATCCCATGACTTTGAAGAAAACTTTCAAGCGCACTGGCCTTTTCCCGGCGCCCGTTCCCCCGTCGGGTTTTCCCCACCAAATATTTGAGCACTTAGCCGGCCTGAGCAGCGCTTTTGGCCAAAGTGCATTAAATATAAATGAGAAAGTGCGATCCTCTTCCCTCGTACCTAACCCGTTTTTGAGGCTCCGGAAAAGCTGCCATTTTCCCTGTGTGTGCGGTGCGAAAACTTTGTAGTTTTCCAAATGCAAAACGCAAAGTGTTTTTCCAACGCCAAACTTTTTCAAAATCTCAAAAAATGGTAAGAAACTCAGGTTTTTCATAACTCTCTGGGGTTTATAAAGTCCACAAATTTCCGTTGAATTCACTGGCAAATGGATGAATTTGGAAGCCAAATTTGTGTGTTTAAATTAAATTACAGCTATAAATATTAAGGGGCTTAAAATCGCTGTGAATAAGCTGCAGTCTAAGATTCAAAGAGAAAAAGGTAGGTGTGATAAGATTAAGATTGCCTTTTATTTGATTATTTTTTTACGACTTAGTTTTTTTTTTGTAATTACCTGATAAGAGTTAAATGAAAATGATGTGTGTAAAAATTACAGCTTTATTTTAAGATTTTTGTGAATATTCAGTCGATTCAAAAGTTACAAAATAAGAGTAAAATAATAAAAAAAAAACTTTTATTTAAGATTGCCGTTGTTTGAATATATTTTTTCGCCTTAGTATAAATATTTAAATTACCTGATAAGACTCACGTGTAAATGTTCATGGGTTTCCCGAGATTCCACAATCACCAGATGAGCTTTCGATCGGCAGAGATAAGCTTCTGAGCTTATTAAAAGATTGTTAAAAGTGTTTAGTTTGTTTAGTTTAGTGCAACGCCTTTCGCCATGCGTTTCAGCCTGAGGTGGGTGGCCATTGCCTTGGGCTGGCTGCCAATTCTGGTAATGGCTGATCCCTGCCTGGATTTCTATGCCACCGCCTGCGGCAACTGGTCGGCCATTCATGCCGACGATCCCTACCGGAGTTTGGTGGGCCAGCTGGACTACGATTATCAGGAAGAGTTGGCCGAGCTGCTGGAAAGGGGGTAAGTCCAGCCACGAAAAATGTTAAAATGATTGAGAATGGTGTTGGTTTTAGGAAACAGGATGACGAGCCCCGCTTTCTGCAGCTGCTGAGGGACTTTTACGCCTCCTGTCGACGACCCTTAACCAAGGATCAGGTGCTGAGGGTGCTGGAAAAGCTGATTGCGCTGGAAAATGTGGAGGATGAGGAGCTGACCGTGGGCCTCACAGCCGCCTTTCGCCTCGAGGTTCTGGTCGAGATGGAGCGGCACAATATGTATGACATTTGGACGCAGCTGCTGACCCGCACCGATCTGGACTGGGATCGAAACGAGACGAACAGGGAGCCCCTGAGTCGCCAGAAGTTCGATCTCCTGTGGCAGTTCGGTGAAGTCTATCACGACAAGGAACTCGCTTGGCGCCTTTTGAGCAATCTGGAATGGCCCATAATGACCAATCGAGTTGAGGATGACGATGACGAGCTGCCGGGTTCATTGGGGCAGCCTCCAGCATTTTGGATGCTGCCCTGGCCGAAATTCAAACCCACCTACGGCTACCTCAGGTGGTTGGCCCGCTCGCTGGCCGATTCGACCAACCGGTTCTTGCTCATCTACATTTATCTGAGACTAAAGTTGGCCGAAGGACCCACCACATCCTGGCGCATCGAACGCGCCGAGTGCGCCGAGCAGGCCAGACAGATCCTGAGCCATCCCGCCGTCTGGTTGATGGAGAAACACCATCCCAGGCTCAAGGAGGAGCCCCTTCTGCAGGACGTTTTCCAGGAACTGAAGCAGCGCTTTGGCCAGAAACTTCGGGCCAACAGAAACAATTTCTCGGAACGCACCCAGCAGTATTTACTCAACAAACTGGAGCGGATGGAGCTGCGATTGAGTGTCCTGCCCCGGAACTGTTCAACGAAATCCCTGGTGCGACGCATCGATAGGCATTACGAGGATGTTTACATGAACGCCACCGACTACTTTACTAATCTCCTGGCCGGCCTAAATCACTCCAGCTTGCAGAACGACCAAGACGATAATGGTAAAATAATAGTAGTATATTAAAGTATTTTAAATATAAAAATATTAAATTTGAATGTGGCATTTCATTTGATTATTTTCGGAATAGATTTTCATAACTGAGAATTTAAATTAAACTAAAGCCATATGAATATTAAGTAAAATGACTCATTAATCTAATATTTTCCACATTAATTCAAATATGTTATGATTGAATCATGCAATTTAGCAGGCATTTTATTTAATGCTATGATTTTATATTCCCAATCTAATCCTCCTAGTGTCATTCAACATATGGACCATGATAGCCGAGCCAGTTCCTCGGGAGATGACCTCCAGGAACGGTTTGTTCCCCGTCCAAGTGCATCGATTTGGCAGCTTTGCCTCGCCCTTTTACATGACTGCGGAGAACAGGCTGCTCGTGCCCCTGTCTCTGCTGGGGCCACCGCTCTATTCGGCCAACCAGGCGGACATACTCACCTACAGTGGCCTGGGCTTCGTCCTGGGCCACGAACTGACCCACGGCTTCGACCCGGATGGAGTCAACTTCAACTCTCGCGGGCGGGCTAGCCACCTGGTTAGAAGGGAACTGAAGAGGAATGGGCGGTTCCAGCGCGAACTGCGCTGCCTGAATCGGAAGTTCGGCAGCAGACGCGACGAAAAGTTCGCGGACGCGAATGGCCTGGAACTGGCCTACTCCGCCTACTTCGACACCGCCCAAACGGACCGCAAAAGGGATCCACTGCGCGGATCGACGGACCAGAAGCAGCAGTTCTTCCTCAACTTTGCCCAGTTCTTCTGTTCCGATGAGGAAGCCAGGGAGGACGGCGATGACCATGGCAGCGACAGGGAAAGGGTCAACGATGCAGTGGCCAATTTTGAGCCCTTTCGAGAGGTCTTCGACTGTCCGATTTCATGGAATCGCAGGCGACAGCAGTGTCGATTGTTTTAGTTAAAAATAATTGGTCCCTATTAAATGTGAACCCCTTTAATTAACTTACGGATGTTTACTCGAAGCAGCTCAGAATAATCTAAAAGGCAAAATGCATTTGTGTGACATTTAATTAGTTTATTTATTCATTATTGGATGCACCGTCGAAATATATGTACAAAATCAAGCCGTAATCAGATGAAACGGTAGCCAAAGCTGTCGTCACCAAATACATATATAAATAGTTAACACATTCCACTCAGACAGACAACTTTCAGCTATAGTTATGGTTATATGTAGATTATAGTTCAGTTTCAGTTTAAGTTGTGGTATTAGGTTGCTTGTAGTTTGCTTAGTCAACTAGCTAGTGTACACTTAAAACATTTAAACTGGAAACTGCAATTGTAATTGTAATTGTAAAACACTTGTACACATATCAACATTGAATTCCAATTGTTTATGCTGTTTCTTAGACTAGAAAAAAAATATATGCGTAGCCTACAACATCAAGTTGAAATTCGTTACAAATGATTTGTTATGTTATGCATTATGTTTCATTTAATTTTCGTCATTTAAATCGGTAAACTCTGGGGCTCAAAAGGTTTACGAATTTAAACGAGTTTGCAATCCTACAGCTACCTACTCTTAAAAACTGTGATTAAGTTACAAAATTTTTTACAAATGGGCGCACAAAAGTTTGCACAAAAATAAACGTTTTTACTTAAGCCTTGTTTCCAAATTTCGTAAATACCTTAAAAGCTAACATTAATCATCATTATTATTGATTATTTAATTCAGTTTCACTTTATATTCCAATAATTTTAACTGGTGAGTTTCCTGTATTTATTCTTAGCATACAATTACTTTATTGTTTTGAAATACGCATTCCCCCGCCAGCTTATTCAGCTATCACTTCTTAGAAATCCCCCCCATTCCTTGGACTTATTATGTAGATTCTGTGGATCCTTAGCCGAAAAAATAACATGTATACGCTTGGTGCTTAACATTTAGTGGGGGCATGACATCAACTCACAGCAAACAACACGGATTTTAAGTGGATAAAACGGTGTCTTATGGGGGGAATTCGAACAGACATAGTTTTCAATATGGATCATTATGAAGTTTTATTATGATTTTCCACGATTTCTATTTCTTTGAATTTACGAATTAGATATAGCTATCGATCAATGAGAAACCCAACTAACATTAAGACTGAATGCTTTATATCATTGGCTTTTAGCTATTCATTATGGTTTATTTTTTTTCAATTATTGACATTGCAATAGATTTAATTGTTTTTATCTGCTTCTATCTGTTTTTATCTGTTTTTATCCCTCTTGAAACCTTATTTTAGGGTAACGGAATTGATTAAGTTTTAGTTCTCTCTGTGAAAATGAAAAAAAACTTCATTGTTTTTAAAAGGGCGAGCTGAGATCATTTAACCATAAAATGATTCTGTTCTAAATTTGTGACCTGAATAATTGAAATTACTGATAGCTAATTACTTAATCAATTTCGAGTACACCCGATCTAGAAGCCACTTTACTTTTTAGAAAAGGTTGATAGAACATCAATAGTTGGTTAAATAAATTGCCAAAAACTAGTAAAATTGTATTTTATTTTATAATAGAAAATCATTTAAATTTTCTGAAATAGAACAAAAATAAATGGTAAGATTCAAATTAACGTATGACTCCCAAATCTATATGCAAAAATAATATTTTATTTTTCAAAAACCCAAAAAGGAGTAAAAAATCCATTTTATATTACAATAAAAAAAAATATATATTTAATATATGTGTAATGTTAAACGGCAAGGTTCTAAATAACGTTAGACTTTTAAACAAATCTTTAATTTTTCAGAAAACCATAAATGTTCATCCCCAAAATAAATTCATGAAAAAATAGTGGAAATTCATTTTTTATTAAAAAGGAAAACAATTAAAATTTGTACCAAGTAAATTGAGAAAAAATAAAATATGATAAACCTAAAGGTTTTAAACAACTTGGGATTCTCAGAAAAAAATATATATATAAATATTTTTAAGCCGCAAATTTCCATTAGGCCCAAGCTATCGATGTTTGAAAATTTCGAAGATTTGCGCGGCCAACTCACTAGTCTAGACATTCCGCTCCTCGGCGATGATGTCCATGGTGCTGAACCTTCGCTGCTGGCCTTGGCCTTGAATTTGAATCTGGATGTGAGTCTGATGCTGATGCTGCGCAGTTGGCTCGCCACCGCCAATGACCACCGCACCACATCTGGTGGTGGCTGTGGTTGTACTGGTGGCGGTGGTGGTGCGACGATGGTCGCTGCTGCCCCGCCGCGGCACCAACATCACCAATTACTAGAGGACCGTCTCGTTGGTGTTGGTGCAGGTGCGAGCGCCATTGACAATGGAGTACTTGGTGGAGGTGTCCTTCTTGGCCATCAGCCGGCCGAGGAATATCTCCTTGAAGGTCTCCCGGAATTGGCGCGACATGCCGCAGTAGATGCCGAAGTTAATCGGGTAGCTGACCACCAGGAAGAAGTTGGTCAGCATGATGCAGATGTTGGCCAGGCCGTAGTCGAGGAACTCGATGATCAGGGAGCTCACGATGTGCATCACGGTCACAACGGCAATGGGTATTTCGGCCAGGAGAAACACGGAGACCACCACAATCAGCATTAGGGTGGTGCAGTTGGTCTCCCGCAGCTTCTTGCACTCCTTCTTCCGGTTCTCGCGGAAGAGCAGCTTCCTCCGCTCCTGCGCCTGCCGCATGGCCGCGAAGAGCAGGATGTTCAGGGTGACCAGGATGATGCACGGCAGCAGGTGGACGAACAGCACGCGGAACAGGTAGTAGCTGGTGTAGTACAGGTCCACCCCAATGTACTCGTGCACCCAGACTGCCGTCTCTAAATGGCACACCTCCGTCGCATCGCCATTCCACTCGATCTCCAGTGGCATGTAGGTCCTGTCGAAGAAGCGGGGCAGCTGGTGCAGGAAGGCCAGCAGGGCGATGTACGCCGTACACCGCCTCACCCGCGGCATCGTGCACCAGGTCCTGGCCATGGGGGCGTGGCACACGTAGATGTACCTTGTGGAAGAAATCACAAGGACCCGATAAGTAAGTCATATTTAAGGGAAGGTAGGTTTTAAAAGGAAAAAAAAACATTATTTTGTTATTTCTTGTTTTAAATGTGAGTTATGTTGTGTTAATTATTCTTTCAACACGTAATAGTTTGTCATTTTAAGTATATGAAAATAAATCGCATACAACAACATTAACACAGCCAACATAAGGCATCACAAGGTCATTTAAAATTTATAAATCATATTGCGTTTTGAAGGTAGTCGACATTCCCTTTTTCACTTTTTAATATATATTTTTTTTTTTGCAGCACTTGGAATTTAAAAAGTTTAATCTTTACAATCAAATTTCAATGTTATATATAGAAAATGTGTGCTTGATTTGGCGCTTAACAAACGGGATTCATAGGAAAAATGATTTATTACTCGGATATCCAAGGTCAAATCCCGCTTCAACCGCTGTAACTTCTTCAGATCATCTCCCTTTTACTTAAAATTTTGACACACAATGTTGACATTAATCTCAGAATATTATAGATTAAAAAATAAACTTAAGAAAATATAAAAACAATGTATAATTACAAAATTTTGTTTTAACTATAGTTTGACTCTCGTTTTTTGGGCATTTAACTAAATCAGGATTCTTAATGACAAAACAATAGCCCAGCTAAGCTTGCAAAATAACTAAAAAATGAATTTAGAAATAAGCTCGATACGTTTGATAAGAAAGGCTTCTTTAAATTACGCCAACGTCAATCAGAGTTTGGTTTGCGAATGAAATGAAACCAAACGAAGAACAATACCTACGGCCATTAAACAGCAATGGACTTTATCTGAAGGGCCTTAACTGTGCATTAATGTGTTCCATTCAAGGGGAAAAGGGAAAGCCCTTTCTCCGCTCCCGTCGAGGCATTGAGACCAGGTAACGAACCCTCTGCATTTGCCTAACACACTTTTATGGCCGCGGCAACGTCAACGGAAGATAAACCAATTTCCCCAAGTGAGAATTTACGATCGCAATGTGGTGACAACGAATTGGCCAAATCCTAATTTGAGCCACCATCCCACCACCACCACCGTTCCCTTGGAAAAACTTGCAGAGCCAAGGAAGAAGCAATCAAAGGCCATCTGAAAAGCTAATCAAGTTGGCGCTTTGTAATTTCATAATTTGAGTAATTTGTCAGGGGTCGGTCGCCCTGCCAGGGAATAAATTTGTTTCCTGTGAAGATTTGGGCAAAAGTTTGCCGATTTATAGTTGGCCAATAACGGAGAATGCCAACCCAGCCGCCCCTTGGATTTTAATTCGAAAAGCGAACGAACTTTGATGCTGGGGCGCGTCCTTGGTGTGCTGGCCTAATTTATGCGCATAATTATGGCCACGCCCATTGCGCTGGCACTTGAAAACGCTTTTCAATCAATCTTTCATTGAACCTTTGTCAAGCGGGGATTTCATTAAAGTTGAAAGCAACAGAAATACCAACCTAAACGCAGGACGACGGACGAAAAACGATTGCCAGGCGTTTACTCCTAAATGGAATTGATATTAATAAATGAATAACATTTAGCTGGCTTATGTTTTGCCCCATCCCCTACCCACTCATTTTCTTTGTCATTTTAACAATTTTGTTAATTTGTCCTAAAAGGATGGACCCAGAAAGAGGAAAAGCCCTGTAAAGGCAACCCTCTTAAACCTCAACGCGTCTAAGAAAATGAAACGACACAATAAATCAATCAAGTACAACATCTCCTAAAAGGGACTGAACGCTGATATCGTCTATTGGAATCTGCTACAGATGGATGTGTTATGCTTAAGATACAGATTTTGAATGAAATAACAGGAAGGTCGAGGATACCCCTTTAATCCCTTTTAGTGGAGTTACCCTTTCAGAGGGATATTATTTTTATGGCAGAGTCATTTCTAGTGGTGAAAGCCAAGCTATTCCTGAAGCTGAAGTTAATGGAATGTTCAATTTGATAACTGTTTTTAAATAGCATTTTATTAAATAGCTCAGCAAACATGCATATATTGCTGATACAAAATGATTTCAAGAGAATTAAACTTGTTTTTTCAGAAGTTTAATAGATTTAATCAAGTTTATGTTTCCGGATAAAGCCGACCTCTTGTATTTCCGGTCTCTTATTAATCACTGATGAGTGTTTGCCCTTAAAGTGATTTCAATCACACAGCTAATAAGGAAGACATTAAATATTTATAGTTGCTTCAATGGGCCGCTTCAAAAGTATGCCAATAGGCCCCATATATACGGCTACCTATATATATCATACATTTTTTGCTATATGAAATTTTTATGGAGAGCGTCACTTACTCAGTTCATTCGAGGCACTCGAGGCACTCGAGGGCATTATGCGACCCACTTCCTCACTTCCCCACTTTGCCCCGCCCATCTGAAAGGGCCATAAAAACACTTGAAACACAAT